CTGAACTTCGTTGCACGTCAACTTGTAATTCAACAACGCAAAGTCTTAAAATGAATAGAGAACCAGTTTTCGTTGTTATAAAGACATACGACTACTGAGATGATGAGTTCGGAATACGCTTTTGAACTATGTATAGTGTTTTATTACCTATAATTCTAACCGATAAAATGTAGTTATTAAATCTTTCAGTAACCTTAGTCCTTGCAACAAATTAGCGTACTATATACGCAGCGTTTCACGTTTTTCATTCATAAACCTAAGTTGATAGTCATACGTATATTAATGAGTAATCTGTAAATTCCCTCACGTAGTGAAACGATCCTGGTATTTTGTTAGGGTAATAAACTATTGTTATAGGTATAGGAATATATTTTTACCCGGTCCAATTAAAATTGTTTTAAATACATAATTTGATAGAAGATTTTTATCTTCGATATTTATTATAGTTCATAAAAATAAATATACGAATCTGTATAAAATATTTACATTTCCTTTAGAAACATTGTTGAAATATATTTAAATAAATACTCACTTATCAAATTCCAAAAAACAATAAAGCATTATTTTCTTTTAGAAATCTATGAAAACAGAGCGATTCTAAGAATATTAAGTAAACATCTAGATAAATAAATAGTTAAGAATATATCATTAATTCATACATATGCACGTCATACATGTGACATTTGATAGAGGATTCTAGAACGTTACAAGAAAATTATATAAGGGAAATAATAAACATCATAAAAATAAAACAACAAACAAAAAAGTAAACAAATTTATTTAAAACAACATAAAAAAATTAAATTAAGAACAAATTGAAATGGATGAACATCGATTCATATAAGTTGCATACCCTTTTGCTATTAATATGGCGGGTACAATTTAATGGGATTACAAAGCAAGGCCATAAGGCTTCCCCCGCACTAAACAAGCTGTACTCGACTTAATGCTGTTCATATATTATAGTCAATTATATTATATATATAATTCAGTAATAACTTTTTATATTCCATTGAATTATTTATAGGTAGAGCTAGTTGAATTTTGTATTTGATTCAGCCTTAACGATTATATAGGTATTGGCTTGGGTTTTCCCACGGTTCGACTTGTATGTAATTATTAGGACTGAGTATCTGAAAAAACGAGTTCCTTTATAACATTTTTAAAACTACAGAAAATTTTACGTAGGAACTAATATTAATCTTATTGCAGTGTCATAATATGATGACGTCATAATTGCATGATCATTGTCATCCTTGCATATTAAGATTAGCTCGTTAAAACTGCTGAGTGGTGTTCCAAGGTCGTCCAGGAATAATATGTGGACTCAGTTACTACAGAGAGCAGCTAATTTTAACTCTACCGATATTTTGCTATAAATGTTTGCTAGCAGATGTCAGCTGTCAAATCGGTAACGTTGGTAAAACGGTGATTCATATAAATATTTGTTGGGATTTCGTGGTTTGTAAGGTTTTTTTTTATACTATCTGAAGTATAGATTAAATTTTACTGCATCTCATACAAAATCATTATATTTTCAACTCGGCTTAAGTTTGTCAAATATAAAACCTATTTTCTTCTTTGACAGTTGTGTTATGAATCACTACAAACTCCTATCGTTAAGAATATCATTTCATATTGAATTCTACTTGCAATACTAAGAAAAATGAGAAAAAATAATAATACAAAAACTAGATAATAAGTGTAATAGGCATAACTAAAATAAACATTGTAAGTATAAAATAATAATAAAAGTAATTTTCTTAACATATAGGACAGAATTAAAACAAATAATTATTTATCAAAAAAACAATACATAAGAAGTACAAATAAATCACTAAATAAACAGTAACATAATAATAAAAAATATTTAAAAAGCATTCATTAAATTAAAATAAAGGCAGAATATAAGATAATACAGCATAAAATATTCATCTTATATTAGGCCGAGAACACATACAAAAATAAATAATAATAATAAAAAAAAGAAAACAACGAGAGAAAGTTCGAAAATAAAACTGTAATAAGCACTTTAAAGTTCATAATATATAAACTGAAAGTTGATATTCCGAACGGCAGGATGTGGAGCAACACGCCACGGGGTGTCGTACCAGATAGTGCATTTACAGTGTCAAATTTGCATCAACGCAAACTTGTAGCGTGCTTTGCAAACGCACTCCTGGCACGGACCCCGTGGTGTAATCAAAACGTCGATATCGATAGTTCGTTACGTCACTACATCGGATGCACACGGAATGTCTTTGCTATCTAGTTACCGCAAGTCATCGATCACTGTGATGTTAGTTGAAGCTTTGTGACATGCCTTGTTAGTGTTGTGTGATATTTAAATATACAGCCGTTATAAAAATCACGTACCGGTCCATGTATCCGAACGTATTTATAATTGTTGAAGCTCTGTGACATGCGTTGTTAGTGTTGTGTGAAATTTTAATATACAGCCGTTATAAAAATCACGTACCGGTCCATGTATCCGAACGCATTTATAATTGTTCAATCTAATTAATATTTTATTTGCGACCTATGTTCACTGATTGACACCATTCATTCCGTATTCAATGTACATCATCGTATTAGGTAGTGATTTGTAATAATGTATGGTGTTGTACATAAATGTATGTTAATGTTTATTTACATTTATTTTTTTTTATAAGCGTATAAATCGCCTTTCGATTTCCGTGTGTAAATATGAAAGCCGGTGAAAGTGTACGTTTGAATTATACAAAAGGTTAATGCTGTACCGAAATTTGGTGTCGTATAAAGCTGTATGGGAAGTTTCACTTGATATTTATGTTAAAAATATCTTATTTTTTATGAAGCCGTTAGCCATATTGTAAATAATATACATATTCTTGAGCGCGGACAAATAATATTTACTTAAAGTTTGTATTCTAAGTACAATATTAATCATATCTATTCACGGTAGGTTTGTTAAATAAATGTTAATATATTTTATACTACTATTGCTTTAAAACTTAAAATACAGGGTGACTGGTGAATTACTATCGATATTTGAGGACGTGATATTTGACGATCATATATGACAAAATAAAAATTAATATAACATAAATATTAATAAACTTCTAAGTAAAGTTAACCAAAAGTTATGTAATTAATTATGCATCGTGTGAACACCCTACAGATTAGGTATACACTGACACTCACACATACGCATGTCGTGACGTGGTGTTGTATCAACACGTCGCCGCACGCGTCCACACTTGAACACTTGGAACGTGTCAACACTTTACTTATTTATAGGGAAATTTTGTCAAAAATTAAGTGCCTATTTTTTTTACATAATTCGAATGAGAATCATGTACCGAGTATGCTCCTTAAATATTGATAGTAATTCACCAGTCACCCTGTATATTTGAAAGTATATTAAAAACATTGAATGAATTTAGTATTAATGACACGTACGTGAATGAAATAAAATGAGACATCTTACAAAGAATCCTAACGCGGTTCATACACATACACGTGTGTTCGTTTACTGTAAGTTATCTGCGAATGCATACACTTAAGAATAATATGATGCAACACAATAGAATCTTGTTAACAAAATTACCAAAGAAAGTGTGAACTATGAAGCTATACTATACGTATGTTACAATATAATTAACGAGCTTTGATTATACTAAAAACGACTTTATATACCTACATATATATTAAAGACAATTGTTTGTAATTATCGTGACATTAGAGTCCAGTTTCGCTTGGCACGTTAAACAAAGGTGATCGCAAGTAGGTCATGCCGGCCTTGCGGCAGAGACTGACATAGCCCTCCATCCGCCGAGTTAGGCATAGGAATAGCAATCCAATACTTTACGTCCAGGGTACGGCATTGTTACTTGAAACTCATGCAATTAACATATGACATCAGCCGGTTTTTCCCTTGTATTAATCCTGTATTAAAACGACTATTAGTTATTATGAATATCATCCATCAGGTCTGTAAGGACTGACGGATCGTTGTCATTAGTTTATTAGAGACCGGGGCCGCCTACATTGAGCTCGGTGCATGATGACGTCACGAGCATATTCTGCACAGGCGATGCGAATAATGGAATAGCCAGCTAAATATTTATAACATAATATAAGCTACAATATATTATGTCACAATAAAAACAATTATTCGAAAGTGTTGGATGCAATCCTACAAAGCTGAGAAAGTGGGACAAATAATTGTTGGCTCTCGTGAGCTAGATAAGCTACATTGTGCAATTGTTTATGGGACTAGTGGGTAGGTACATGATAAATTATGTCAGTTGATTGGCCATTCTACGCTATTAATACGTCCTTGAACACATGGGCCGCATACATTTACCGGTTAGAATGTAATACTGCGGTCCGCTTGTGAATTATAGGGGCGATGTTACTTTTACCGGTGGATCGCGGTAGAAGGAAGCCACGCTCTAATGAACGCTTTCCCTCTCAACGTCACATCCCCGACTGGTTACGACACCTTTATGTGATAACTATATTAAACTCGGTTATAATATCGGCTATTTTCATTTATATTAGTTGTTAATATATACGATTGATGTTCTATAAAGGTCTCGAAGTATCTAATTATATATTTCATTGACAGTTTCAATATAGGCCTGTTCACACGATTGTAAAACAACATTGTCGTTATAGAATTACGTTCGTGTGCACTCGTTCTATATAATGTACTTTGTTAAATGTCAGCGTTGTTAACATTCCTATAGAGACCCTAGCGGATAGCTGAACCAAGGTGAGAAAATAATAAAATAAGATAGAAATGTTTATATGTACGTTCCGTGAGCGGTTTTCGATGCATGCATTAAGCGTGAAATGACAATGAGATATGCATAGTTGCACGTGACATAGACAGCGAAGTTTGCACGTGTCGGCGTTAACATATACAGGGGTTGAACGTCAGTCCGGCGCAATTATCTAGTTTAAAATAATCCCGCTGTAGGCGGACACTTGCGCAACACAATTCCAAAGTCTCTCTAAGCGACACTGACACTACACTGAGACACTTCACGGCAGTCCGCGCGTGTAGAGCCGACGCGGGCGTTCGTACCACTGCCTGGCGTTCCACTTTTCCTTCCGGCGACTGCGGTGTGCGATCGGCCGCGAGTTGGCAGCGGCGCGGCTTGCATAACAGACGATTTCGCAAAGCGGTCGGTGCAGTTGAAATACGCTGCTTGAAATACGCTGATACTGTGGCAGTTGACGCAACACACAGCCAGCGCCCGATACACCTGTTGCTGCCAGCCCCACCATACCTCCGTTGTTCCATGCATCAACCGCTATCACTTTCGCCTGCGTGTACACGCTTTCATCAACATATTCTTGTGTGAATCGTAGAGAGTTTTACGATTGTGTATGCACGGAATATTTCTGTTGTACGTATGAACGCGAGGCACGCCAGCGATCAGCGCGCGACTTACCAGATGCAAATTCATTTAGATCAGCCTACACTCTGCCTTTATTATTCTAATTATCCTCATATAATACGAGTACGAACTTAATTTCATTGATTATAAAACGTATATAAAATAACGTGTAGCCTTTTAATAGCTCGCGTAATAGTATTTAAGGCCAGCTTATTTTGTTTTCTCGGTTACAATAATGTCGCACGGGCCTCGATCGCCACAAATAGATGTCCCACTTCGACGAAACCCAGAGTGATAAGTAGGGACATTGCAGAAAACTACATATATATTTAGTCTTTCGGATAGAATGAAAGCTACTTATAATTTATAAATAATAATTTCTTATACGCTGAGCGTAATAGTTTTTCTATCTCGTCAGCTTGTTGTGGATCAATAAAATAAAACTTTAGTGTTTGACGGGTTAACGCGTGTTACTCTGAAGGCCGGTTGAGTCACGTATCTCAGGCGAATCGTTGATCACTTGAACGACTCATGTCTATAGACTACATATATAATGCATTACAAACTAATGTCCTCAAACAAAATGAGCATCGATCAATTAAAATTATACTACTGAGCATATTAAATACATTTTTTTTATTTAAGCCGATTTAATCTATTTCATCACGAGACTCGACAATTCGTGATGTATTTTAATAGCCAGCCCTGGATCTTACATCGTTCGAAAGTGAAATCTTTACACACAACCAACATATCAGTAATAATTCCTTTCCTAATAATATTCCTTTGAGACGTGGTCATTAAGGTTGGCACCCGATAATAAAATTCCTACAAACCGCACGTGTAAGTCGTTTATAATATAATAATTACACGTGCTGCGCATTAAAATTGATTATTATGTTATTATTTTGATGTTTTATATAGTCATTTCTTGAGATAGAAGCGATTTAAATTACTTTTTTCTTTATAATTCGTTGTAGTCCTATTTGTATTTTTACTTTTTGAAAAACTACACCACTTTTTTGTTTGTCCCGAACGCTATATAGTACGTATTATTCAATATTCACATATTAATAAGTGATTTTTCCGAAAATAAGTTCATAATTTGAATTCTTTGTTGATAATATTTTTTATAGAAAAATCTATGTTAGTATCATTACATTTACAAATTATTTTTTAATAGCTGCCTAAATTAACGTCTCGTTTCTGCTAATCAGTGTAATTATCAAATGTTTCAAATAAATGCTTTTAAAATTTTATATACATCGATTCAAAATAAAAGTTATGTTTCTAGAACATTCTAAAGAAAACGGGAATAAACGGAAGCAAGTTAATTATCGGACTTGTATTGATCTATTGTAAATAGGGCAACTTCCTGCAGTCAGGGCTGGCATGCGGCCCAAGGACATTAGATGACCTAGGACATACGGTCAGGGTTGTCCATACCAGATAAATTTCACAGACAAAATATTAGAACAAGATATAACAGATATTATTTAAATACAGCGAAGAGAACAACTAAGCAGTAAGTTGTTTACGAACCAATGACATAGTCAAATAAATTAGCATAAAACTCAAAGCTTTATATGGAAAGGTACAAATGATTTCCCAGCAAAGATACATAAAATCTTGCTATTTACTCGTCATTTAGTTTGAGTTTGAAGACTCTTGAATCAAGACATTGGAGATCAAAAACAAAATGCGACTGGACAACTTGAAATCAAACTTTCTACGGATTCTCGCGAAATGTCAAAAAAAACTGCTGTTAATGACATCGCGTGTCGTGAATTACAATGGGCAGGGCGATCACAGCGTTACGAAACGATTTAGAAAGTCGGGCCACGGTCAATGGTCCCGCCAGCGAAAGTTTCGTACGCCTTAACGTATGTAAGTATCGCAATGAGACGATCATACCAGTTAGCGGGAGATGAAAGTTATACCGGAGTGACCTTCACGGAAACAATACGATGGGATATTCATAGAAGTTTTATATCAAAAAGATTGTCAAAAACTGTGTCACAATTAAAACAAGTTATCGAAAACACACGCTGGGGCAATGTGTTTGATATGTGTGAACAGATCGTTGTAATATATGAACTGGCTATACGATCGATCGATGAGAGGAGGGTGGGTCTAACTGATTTGCGTACGTTACAAGGGACCTCAGGTCCGGGTGCACCTGCGCGTTTCACTCCAAAATTATTGCACTTCCCTTCATACCTCCCCCCCGTAACCCGCCACCCCGCTACCCTTCCCCCGCTCCCCGCGCCCACTGACGACCTTCGGAGCTGCATCCCTGGCCAAACGCCAAATGCATACCTCTTTACATTTCATAACATCTTAAATTATACCAACAAATTATTGCACCGATATTGTCTAACCTTACTGACCATACGCTAAAAGAATGGTTAAGTATTCGTAATGTTGAAAATAATGTTAGACCTATTACAATTATTCAGATAATTGTTGAAAGGTTGTTATCAGAGGGGCGGGGCGCGGGGCGCGGGGCCCGGGGGAGGTATCGACACTGTTATTTACAATGAATTCAGTTCCGCTGCCATTCTATAATAGAAAATGTGATTTTGAATTTTAAATTTTCGTCAACAAATTCAAATACCATACCTTTTCTGACACAACAACAACATAAATGGACAACACTAGGTCTAGTCTCTAATTACAACGTTACATTTAGATAGCCTTAGGCAATGTACGACTGGTCGGATGTAGGAATGTAACTACACCGTAGACGAGGTATGTGAACGGTGAAAGTAGTCTCGTCCGTACCGAGAAAAAAGTTTTCCAGAGAGTTTCACCGCGCAACAGGTGGAGTATACGACAAACGTACTACCATATAATATAATATACATATATATAAACAACAACAGAATCACGTTTTATGAATATAATTAGAAGGCTGAGTGCACGTAAGTAATTATTGCATTGGCAAACCGCGCGCGCTATCGAAGCTGCGACGAGCGACTGTGGCTTGCACCGAAATAACTGCTGTGTGCAGCCCGGACGCTCGATGCAACCTCCGCCTCGCCTTGCCCACCTCCCCCCCTTCCCCCCACCACCGCGCCCCCCCCCAGGTCATGGCTGCAGGTCGCCATGGAGATGGGCTGCCTCTATCGATCCAGCTGTTGCTTCGAGGTCCCGGATGACCTTGAACTTCAGACCTCTCCTTGGAAGCTCTCAAGAACAATTACGGAAAATTTACTTCTGTAATACCCAAATTTTTGTTCCCTTTATATTTTTAGAACGATCTTTTTGTATAAAAATACTCAATGGCTATGTATTTTAAGTAATGAGAAAGCCGTATCAAAAATACACAAAGCGAATTATCTTTGGTTTTATTTTGTAAAAAGTTCAGTAAAATTAAGATATTGAAAGTGACTGTGCATTAGTAATTAAATTTTAATTCCAATAAATATTTCGTTCGTATTAGGTACACGTTAATAGATTTACTTAAAAGTAAAATATCAGTTTTTCTTTAGACAAAGAAAGAGATATACATATTCAATATCGTAATAAGTTCTGCATTTAAATGATTTAAAATTAAGCCTAAAATATATAAATATATTAGAATAAAAAACGACAATACAGCCTTGAAAAATATTAAATTGAACTCAAGAAATATGTAAAATTTTCTGTTAGCCTAAAGATTATATTTTTGTTAGGTCAGTGTTGCGAAAAACATTTTAACTTATTTTTTAATTACAATTTATATAGACTATTTCTAATTATCGTGCTGCCCTTGTCATTATAGCAGCTAGGGTTGTGCCAGCGACGGTTGGCAGTGTTTATTGGCTGCACATACGAGTCCCGGGCCAAAGTTATTTAGACACAAAGGCGCCAAAACATAATATAGCATAAGTTTGACGTGTTGAAAGGTATAGAGTGATGACAAATCATTACAAAAAGGAACAATATTACGGTAATGTACCTTTTAACTTGGTTGACGACGAAATATTATGATGCAATACGCAATACAAATGACATATGATTTCATCTAATTCTCTGTATTACTCTTAGGTCTTAACAAAAGATTCCACCTTAAAAATTCTTACAATAGCTTTATAATATTAACTTAAACTCTTAATTCAGTGATATGAAATCTGTAATTTTTGGGAAGAGATAATCGATAGTATATTCAAACAAAATTAAATTACCTGCTTTAATTACTAATGCAAAATAACTTAAAAGAATCTATAAAATAGATAGCACTAGATTCATACTTTATAGTACTCTTGTAGCGATGTAGTATGACTGTGTGTAGCGAGTCGTTAATAAGGCTGCATAGTTATGGAAATTAATTGCAAGGACGATGAAACATCTAGTTACAATGCGTTTAGTTCGACTGATAAAAATATATTATACGATTCCATCATTGTGTTTTAACATGAGATAATGAGGATTAATATGAAGATGATGGTTTCATATGATTTTAAGAGCGGTTAGTCTAATTTATACTAATTTAATTAATTTTAGAAATTAGCTGACAGCTAATATATGTATAAGTGAGAGTACATAATTTTCATTTTCAGTTCTGTTAAAGAATGTTCATCAAGGAAAAACTATTTCAAAGACAGGAAATACAGATAAGTAGGTCTTTTTTATCCTAAATCTGTGATTATTTAAGATTATTATTTGGTAAAGCGAGAAAATTATTCGGTAGTTATTGAAAATGAATTTAAGATAATAAAAAGTACTTTATAAGCTTACATATATCTTGAAGAGAAAAAATTGAGAACATAATCCTCGGAAGTAGTTTATTGTATGGTAATGTATTTTTACTTATAAGTATTTTCTTCTCAAATTCTTATTTGCACTTTGAATTACATATTTGTCATCCTTTTTAATACTTTATAACATAATTATATATGTTCTTATCTATATATCTAATCATGTTTCAGTAGCCCTATCATTTAATTAAGATAACTATCGCGAAATCTCAGGAAGTATCCATTAAGTACATTAATCATGAATTTCCCTTGAATAGTAGTACAAAGTGTATTTTCTTTTGAAACTATGAGCGTAAGTCCAAATATAATATTTTTAAAACTAACTTTTTATTGGTCATATATTAAATAAATAGTAAGAGTATATTCTTTTCTTACTATAAGGAGTGTTAAGTGCAAATAATTTTGTTATTGTTGGTCATATATGTACTATCAAAAACATTTGATAAGCTAGCACTCGAGTCTGTTTAGTTAATGTTAAATACATAAATAATCTCATATAGTAAATAAATGTTTCTGACAATAGATTCAACAATAATAATAGATTATAGATTTATATTAACACAAACATATATGTCTAGAAATATGATATTATTGGTTATGTTTGTGCTTCGTTAGACAGTAATTGGAACATCATAAATGTTTTGATATATTGCATGTGAAATAATAGATCTATATTCATTAGGAAATAACACCAAAATAACTAATACGTGTACATTTTATACTTTACTTAATAATCATTGATTTAGAATTTAATCTTAAGTGATTGAAGTCTTCGTTAAATCTTATGATTTCTTATATAAAAATCAGAATCTCATAAATTATCTCTACTTTTAAAATTAGGATAAGTATAGAATATTAAGTATATACGTATTTTTAAGTTTAGTCTTTTTTAAATAATTAAGCTGCTTTTAAAGACGCTTGCAATACAATATTTGGCTTGTTATTAATATGTACTTTATAATCCATATATCTGACATCTTCACTTTTCAGTATAAATTTCTATATAGGTATAGGAGATTTATTTCAATTTTATCCGCCAACTTTAGCTTGGATTCCATACAGCATTAAAATAGAGCCTATTTATTTCAGTCATATATTGTATTATCACAAATCATTGAAACATATTTATTGAAGATAATTTTAAATCTTTGATCAAATTATATTGAAAAAGGTTAAAGAGACAAATATCATCCAAGTTTGAATATTCTTGATTTAATTTCGAAAACACTATTGCCATATTAAAAAAAGGTTTAAGCTGTTGTTTTATCTAAGGTGCTAATCTGAGTTAAATATACAATCTTCAAAAAACTTTGCTAACACCTAGACGTTAAAGAAAATTTCTGGTTACAAGTTCGCCTGGAATCTATTATGAATATGGAATGGAATGGAATATTTTATGATGATGTAGCCTATAGTTTTTTTTCTTTTCAGACTCATTTAATAGAAATATTAACATAGAAAAACATACCTAATGCCATATAAACATAGCACAAATTACTTTACGCTCTATCCTTCTGTACATCCAGTAAGTCATTTCTTTTATAGATTTTTCCACTTTACTGTTCTATGCCTTAATTCCCTACCAAGCCGTAGTACAGAGAAAGCTATTGCTTGGAATTCATGTAGCAACCGACAAAAGCACGTCTTTATCTGGTTTTTATGCAAATTGTTGGAGCAGTAAAAGATACATACGATTAAAGGGCACTTAGAGTTTAGAGTGACGAATAAAAATTAGACATTATAAACTTTCCAACAATTTATTTTGAAATAACTTTCACAATTGCTTTTTTGACAATTTAATTCTTTTATACACAAAAAAAATAGTGATAGTAATTATGATTTCATTCAAATGCCAATTCCAAATAAGCCACGAATACATTTTTCACGTTACAACATAATACTTTTTAATCATATATACAGAGTTTTTATAAAATAAAAAATAATATTTTTTGCATAAAATACAAATATGGAGTAACTTGACAAACATACAATTTAAATTCTCAGGATTTAAACTTTCAAAACATCCTTTAAATGCTGATTTAGATTTTCTAAAACTTGATTGAAATTGTATTTAAAAAAAGGGAAAAAACTTCTTGAAAATGTGAAAATTCTTAAAAATATAAACATTTAAATTGCCCTCCATTGTCCTATAAATTATTCTACATAAATTTAGATATTGTTTAATAATAAGAGGAATAATTACCAACACTTATAGATTAACACCAGTATTTCGTTTTTCTATTATAAATTTATTCTCAAGAATCTCTCACACCAAGGACGCAATAAATGTATCTTTGAAACTCACCTCGCCAAACGCCAGAAGCAATGTTACAGCCGTCTTGACTTTCTCTCATATAATATTTAATAAATGTATGAAATTCAAATGAGAATTAAACAAATTTAGACGGCGCTTTCAATTAATATATATTTGGATACATGTACAAACTTTTTTTACTTTCACACAGGTAACAGACACAAATTTGAATAGTTTCTTTGCATCAAAAGTTTTTCGTTTTTGGATGATATCTTCTTGAATTATAGTAGACAGGGAGAACTAGGGAACAACTGAGATACCACCAGCTGTGTTCACTCACCAGTTATCCCGAGGGAGCACAGCGTGGCACCCGGTCGTTCGATAGCCCGGATTCTTCATACATACAGAACAAATCCAGATTAACTGTAGCATTCATAGCTTCAAATCTTCGTAATTCTTCATATTTTTTCTCGTTCTTAGATTTTATGTTCGTGTTATTTGATGATGATATTAATTTTTTTCTATCCCTAAATTCTTCTTATTAAACTAATGTATATAAAACTTTTAAAAAATAAAAAAAGTACTCATAAGGAAAGTTACAAATTTAGATAAATGTACAATGAAAAGGGATATAATTTTTACAGTACAATTTCGTTATTGGCACTTTCTGAATATACATGTTTTAATACAATCAAATGATCAATTTAATAAATGATGTACAAAATTTTACGAAACATAAATATTAAAAAAAACCACCAATTTGAAACTAGAACTGAATATAAATAAAAAGTTTGTTTTAAAAATAATTGGAGAGAACTTGTTCTTCGTATCTTATTCTGGTATGAATCTTACATGTGCTTAACAGTTTGACAATCAACTATATACGAAAACATTGAAAAAGGGCACAAACTCTAACAAATGTAAAAATATATTGGATTAAAATAGGTTATATGAGAAAAGTAATACATTTTGAAACCACCATATCAACGAAATATGTTTGTCGTACTAGCCTTTCTATGTAGAAAATATTGCTTTACATGACCTTATAATAAATTACATATTACTTGAAACTATAATATTAAAACGATTTTAACAATTTAGAACTTATTCTTGTAATACAATATATTGCTAATAAAACATTATCAGCAGTGTCATCTGTGGGACTACTTCATATAACTGGACCGGGAACGAAGCAAGAGC